CGATCCGGAAAATTAATTTCCAATTGAATTAGATAACATTGAAACAAGGCGATCTATACTGAAGGCCTATTCATCGCGCAACCGTAAGCCGTGACTGGGAGCCAATTATTTTTAACGGATTATCAGCAACCCTATTATAAAATTATATTTTGGAGTCAAAATATGACTCTTAATGAGTTTAATTAGTTTATTTAGAAATATTTATATTAAAATGTAATAAAAAAGTTAAAATTAAAAAAATTAAAACAAAGAAAATATTTGCATATATTATAACAACAACAGATACAAATCATTCTTTTCTAAACAAATTTATGATAACTTTAAAACTTTTAATGCAGGTTCTTTATTAGATCTTAGTGTAATTTGTGCACAAAAATTGTTTAAAAATATATTAGCAAGTGTGTTGCAATGTTTATGATTAATTTCAAATTAGTATTCAGAAACCAGCAAAAAGATGTCAAAGGATTCACGACAAATTTTATCTTTTATTGAATGGAATAAAACAAAGCAAAAAAAAAAACCATTGGCAAACATTGTCTCGTGGACCTTTAAGACCACTAGGATCTATAGACTTGAGGTACTTACCAAACTTTTCATAATAAAGTAATGTTTGATTGAACAAATTGTTTTCATTATATTCATTTCTACATTCATAACCAGCAATATAAATCAAAGACATTTTGGTAGTATAAGAAATTGATAACTCTCGTTTTTCTAAATTGTCAAATATTTCACTACCTGCTTCACATAAAACATATGTACTAGAAGCACACTCATGACTTGAACTAAAATCAAAAGAATCTTTGTCAATATTTAAAGATAACAACAGTGACGTGTGATTTATATGCAATTTTTCGTTAATTTGTTAAACATTTATAAAGTAGACACCCCCAGAACCTTGTCTCAATTTCCCAAATTCTTTTTCTAAGTGATCACTTGTAAACATACCAAGAAGAACGTAATCATGACTTGTTATTTGTAAATATTTACATAGCTCGACAATACCATAGCAAGTATGGTGAATTAATTTTGCAGTATCATTAGATAACTGCTTCCCTCTTTTGCCATTTTTACAACACATTTTGAAAGCCATATCACCAAACTGAAGTAGAGTATTAAGACGGCAATCATCAGGACTACAAATAGGTGGTTCTAGTGGATCATTGTGTCTTACATCAGCTCCACGACCTTTCACATTCAAAATTTTCTACCAGGTTAATACTTTATTTATAAATATTGCAGTATCCTTAAAATTTGAAATTATTTGAGAATAGGTAAGCAAGGCATGATATGTCTTATCTGAAAAAACTTTAAGGCATGTAGATATATTTTGCCTTTCAATTGGCTTGGGAGCTATTGCAATTTCATTTAAGTCTAACGACTTGACTAACTTTTCTGATTCTAATTGATATAAGCATTTAAGGTGCTCCCCTTTAGCAGGTCTTTGAATACCGTTATCACTGTACACTAGTTCCCCAGTTTTTTCTGCAAGCCATAGACTCCTAATGTTTTTCAAAAGATGAACAAAGTCAAACAGTAAATACATTCCATCTTCCGTTTTCCCAGATTTTTTTGGAATAGTACGATATAATTTAAATAAATGCTTGGTTTAAACAATTACCATCACAGATAACAACTTTTATATCGTCAGATGACGATTTTATAAGTTTTATGCGGGAGTTTATTTGTTCAAACAGAAAGTTTGAACTTAATTTTGAAATTGAAATTATCTTGTACAGAAATTTTGGACCACCTTTGAGACATACTATCATAATTCCCAATACAGTTTTAGCCAATAATGATAGATCATTATCTAAGTCATCTAAAGATTTACTAAACAATGTTCTACCATGGTAAAGCATCATTTTTGTTGACAATTACTTCATCATGAATAACTATACAAATTTTTTGTTTTTCTTAAATGTTTTTAAAAACTGAGTCTAAGAAACTAGCATCGTCAATTTTGCAAACTTTTGATGTTATTCGTGTCAATGTACTAACTGATAGCAATTGAAAATCGTTTCTTAGTTTATTGTATAAGGAACGAGATGTTGAAAAATATTCAAAACTACGTATAATTGTATCTGATTCATATTTTTTTTTTCCAATAAGCTTTGCAGACATAACTAATATTTGTTGCTGAATAATGTTTTTCTTATGGTCTATTTCCATGACATTTAAAAAATGGAGCATTTTCTCAAACTTTGACCAAGAAAAAATTTATACGATTATTACACAAACATTTTCTTACACAATGAAATGTTTCAAAATATATATTCTCAAAAATTTTAACAGAAATAAAGGAACACCGTCATAAAACGTAATAGATTGAACATAATTGTTTTTTTAAGTTTAGCAAAAAAAAAGCGTACGTACTTTATGGACACCCCTTATATAAAATAATGTTAGGACTTATATATATTATATACATATACAGTCTTAGGAGTTAACAAGTCAGTAAAAATGTTTTAAAATTATTTACAAAAGTTTATAATTTAAAAAACTTTAATAATACAAAGTAATTGGAAATATAAAAGAATAAACAAGATTAATTTGAAAAAGTTAAAAACTCATTGTAATGTGAGCTTATAATATATGTGTTCCAATGTATGGCTATAATATATATTTAGAAACTATTTTTGATTATAAATGGAAATAAATGTAAACATTAATTTGCGTCGTTTAAACCATTGAATATATTGAATATATACCAAAAGACCAATTTCAAGATTTTTTGTTCAAGAAAAGTAACCTTTAGATATTTATTTTTGCACTAATACAGATAATGTTTAAAAAAAATAAATCAGTTTATATGGTCGAAGATTCAAATATTTGTAAAGGGAGGGGGTAATAATAGCATTCTGAAAAAACTCTTTATAAACCATTATGAACGCAACTATAATTCATCTGTAAAGTTCAAATTTAGTAAAAAAAATATTTTAACGTTCAAAAGTTATAACCTCGTAAAGTTGACAACCCCCCTTAAATGGAGAGGATTTCAAACTTTCCTTAGTCGTCGCTTTTTAAACAATAAGAATTTTATTTTAGATAAATTAGTTTTTCCGATGAATTTAACATACCACAATTAAAAGTTTTTTTTAGGTATATACTATTCCTAGGCGCCGATACCTGTAATTTTTTGTAAAACATTCTTAATTAATACATTTAAAAAAATAAAAATTTGCACCATCTCTCGAAGTTGCCTATCTTGAACACTAAATAATCATGCCCGTTTAAGTTCTTATTTTGAAAGAGGTCGACGGAATAATTTCAAGACTTAGCTTATCATTATACGAGATAAGTACCGTGTACGATGAAGTACCGTGGTTTTGAAAATGCAAACCGTTTCTGTAGGCCTTTTTTTTAAAATAAGTTATTTCGGTTGCGGTGAGCGGTTTAAAGAAAAGAAACAGATATGATAATTTTTTCATAAAAAAAGTTATATGTAAATGTTTTTTTAATTCAAAATAATACTTTAGTGTTAACAAATATTTTTAGACTTATTTAATTAGGGTGAAGCGGGGCATATAAGGACACTTTAGAAACAAATGCAAGTTGCGAATAAACTAATCATAGTTAACATTGTTCATCATAATTTTCCAAAAGCTTATTGATATAAGAAAATGAAAAACCTCAAAAAAAAATTTATAAAAATAAGTTACGAGAACCAAAGTAATAAAACTCTAGGCTAGTAAAACTTTTACATTTTGCAAGTAGGTGGGGCAAAACAGGACAGCTAAAAAGCAGCAGTTATTCGTCAGTTGTAAAGCTTTCAAAATAATGAAAAATGAAGGCTGTCTATTGTCTAAATATGTTCAGACATTAAACTCTCAAAAAAGTAACAAACCCATAGAAACTATGTGCACTTATACCCATACACCATAAAAAATAAACAACAACAAAAACAAAATTTTTCTTAGTGAATTTTATTATAAAATACCTCCGCTCTACTTTAACCTATATATTATCAAATTAATAATATTAATAATAAAGTTCTACTAAATTTGAAATTAAAAAAAAAGTTTTATAGATTACATAAATCATACAAAAAATATCCTGAAACTATTTGGCAACATTTTTTATGAGCTGGGTAATTACCAATATGCCAATGTAGAGCAAGCTTAAATATGTCACATGCATCAACAGCTTTTCTAGTTCTAAGTTCCTTTATACTCACAGCTAAAACTGCATTTCATCTCATTTTGGATGATTGATCTTTTTTATATCATTTCTTACCTTCTTTGTTTACATTAAACTTAATAATCGAAGTTAATTATAAAAAGAATTTCTTTGAATATTTTACTAAAAAATTTTTAAATGAGAAAAAAAACTTTTTAGATTTAAAATAAAATCATCAAACTGTAAACGTCACAAAATGGTAGTAATATATTCAATTATATAAATAACTTGTTGTCCGATATGCCTCACCAAAGTCATTTTACTAAAATTAATACTATTCAAAAAGTTCCATTCCAAATATTTTTTTAAAACCAGATTCTAAAAGAGGATAAAAAATACTGTCTGAAAAATATAAACTTTTTATAAATTAAGCAAATTCGCCATAGTTCAAGATCTTTTGTCGTTGTATCGCTTAACAAAATACGCAAATTTTGTTTTTTGCAAACTTACTAATGCATTTTGGTATTTCTAAAATTAAATTTTTTTACAATAATAAAGCGCAAGTAAACATAAAATGTTTTATCAAACATTTAAAAAAAAAAAAATCATTTTCAGCTGAGATGAGGCTTCAGGTGTCTTGATATGACCTACTCTACCCTACTAAGACTTATTTTTTTTACAATATTTAAACTTTTACTAGACGAAACAAAGATTGTTGACATGGTAATACTTAAAGTCTTTTTAATTTAAGAGAATTATTTGATATCTATTAGGTATATCTCTTTATTACAACTTTTATTTTGTTATTAATAAATAAAATATTCTTTTTAATATGCTATTTAAATAAATATGGGAAATAAAAATAATAAATAAGGTTGATACAAGTTCACAAGATTATTTTTTTATTCATCTTCATAACTAGGTCTCTTAAAGACTCTCTAAGATCTGGTCTGAATGATCTCTCCACTTTTACTCCAATTAAGTTTCATTTTAACCGTTTAAATTTAATAAAAATTATAATCGACAATCCAAATATTACTATCATTATTGAAATAAATATATCGTTAATATATATACAACATATTTTGTCTACAAATATACACGTTTTACATGTATATATACAATATATATATATTGAAAAAAAAAAAAAAAAAAAAAAGATAAAAAAAATTGCAAAATCTATTAAAATTCTTTATTAGACAATTTATTGTATTTTTTTTTCTTTTCTTCAAAAAACAGAAATTTTAATACAACAATAAATCACGTTAAATAAAAAAAGTAAATACAAATTATGAATGCGTCGTATGCAAACTTTGTCTTTAGTCATAGTTAAGAACTTATATAAAAAAACATTCACATTCAATATTACCGCAAACATATATTTTTTAAACAAATCTCAAGATTATATGTAACACAACATATAAATAAATAAAATAACACAAGTTTTCAGAAAAGATAGTTTGAAATTTTATTAAAATAGCAACAAAAAAATCAAAAAACAAATTGTCATGATGCATTTTAAAAATAATATCAACATGGATGACTGAGTTATGTTTTTAATAAAAATCAGAAAATGAACTTGAGATTACTAAGGCATTTGCAAATATTTTTTGAGATTTCTAAGACATTTGCAAAAATTTTAATGTTTCTTGTCCTTCCAATATTGAATAATAAATCCCACCTTAATTTTAATAGTTTTCTTTTGAAAATTTTTTTTTTTTATTATTTATCCAATTAGATAAAAGCTTTTTATTATTAATTTTCTAACTGTTTATAACGGTGACCGACTTTTAAAAAATGTGAAAAAATTTTAAAGGTGTCTGGCAGTAATAGATTAATATGTAGTTTGCAATATCATTTCCCTAAACTAATATTAAAAAAAAATTGTTCACTTATATTTAACAAAAAAAAAACTTTACAATATAATTTTTGGAATGAAGTTATTGCCTATTAAAAAAATACAATAATAAGATATTCGCTTACATTTGTGTAATGCAGTGAACGGGAATAATGGGGTTTAAAGTACAGCCAGATTTATAAACAATAGCATGAAAAAAAGTAAATCAAAACGGCGCAAATCGAGTAGAAATGGCTAAGTTTTCTAGAATACATTTATTTAAATGAAAGGTGCTTGGGAGTTAAAACATTTATAAAATTAAATTTACACAAAGAATTAAAAAAATGTTTTGAAACTTTAAGAGTATATACCAGATCGAAATTTTAAAGATCGGAATCAGATCAAAATTAAAGCCACGTATAACAGATTTAAGAAAAATAGCTTATGGGGCTGAAGTAGCTCTCTTTTTATTTCTTCGTAAAAAGCTACAATAAATTTATATTAGTGGAGTTGTTAGTGAGAAATTTATTTAAAGAAAATTAATTAGTGAGAAAATCATTTAAAAAAAAGATATACCACAATATTGCAGTTTTAAAATTATTTGAAAAGATACATCGAAGAACACAGAGTTTCCATCTAAAATTTCGAAATAAAAAAAAGAAAAATTAACAAATATAAAATACAGGTTGTCTTAATTAGTAAATATAACCTTTTTTTTATTTACTAAAAGATGTATGTACATCATCTATTTTAATTAACCTTTAGCCGTAGCCACCTCAGACATTATAAATTAAAAAAAAAAATCTAGACTTAGCCACTTGAGACACTTTAAATTTTAAAATGGGTATTAAAAAGATATTTAAAAAAAAATCGAAACATTGGAAATTTATTTTTATTGTAAGTATCAAAAAGAGTTTCTGAATTTTTAGTTCTGAAAAAATTTCAAATTCAAAATTTTTTGTCATCGATTAAACAATAAAATTTATTTAACCTCTAAATATAGACATAAAATGGTTGTTTTGACACATTGCTCCTTAAAAGCACATAGACACAACCATATTAATAGTATACAAGCCAACTTTGATTCAACTCTATATTTATTTTTTGGATAGTACAATAAATAGAAAATATTCTTTATAAATCTAGAAACTGGAGGTGAAAATCACTTTTTACAAGCATGAATATTATTATTTATCAACACATACGTTAACATTTTATAATAAAAATCGACGATGAATTCGTAAATATATTATTTTCACATTTTAAATAGTTAAACTAATATATTTGATATTTATTAAAATATTTAACAACCGACTGATATTCGGTATTGAATGGAAGGTTTTTATAAAGGGATAAGCAACTTACAGTCAACAAGACTTTTATTAAAGCCAATTTATTAGAAATTAAGAGTTTATATTTTAGCGTATATTTTACAAAAAATTGTATGATTAAAGAGCACAGAAACGCAAATAAATAATAACCCATGCTGTGTTTATTATTTAAAAATTTTTTCATTTTTTTATTCAAATTTTTTACATCTATTATACAACCCAATTAAGTTATTTTTAAAGTTCAAAAAATGATTTTTACACGAAATGAAATCTTTGAAATTTACAGGTTTACAATTTACAGGTTAAAATATTGCAATAAAAACTAGTAAAATAATTATAAAGTTTTTGGATCAATGTTAACAATATACTCCCAAATATAATTGCTACTTTACAATGTAGGTTTTACAATTGGTACAAATGAAATGCAGTTGTTTCAATTTTTACAGTTACAATACAGGATTTACAATTAACCTAATGTGTTGTAAGTGGTGTAAAGTTTAAGGAATTATTGTACTCAGTTTGCTCAAACTGCAATAGTGATTTAAAGTATTAACTAATATTAAATGTTTAAAAAAGATGCATAGAAGCTAGACTTTTTTTTTTATGTTTTTTTTTTTACTGAAAAACATAAGTTATTAAAATATATATGCAAATTTCAAAAAGATTTCATTAAAACATTTAATTAAAATTTATTAATATTATTAGTGTATTAAAGTTATGATCGGCAATGATCAACAATTAACGATCAACTATAAATAAACTATAGAAAACAAAAAATTATATACATATAATTAGGGCAATAGACAAAGATGTGAAGGTTGTCTTTTACCACAGGTTTTACTTTTATATATGTTACTTTTTATGATCTGTTGTCCGCAGACCAAGACCGCAGAAGGTAGGCTGCAGTGTAAAATTGAAAGAGGATATTTTTGTTTAGTCCAAATGCATGGAAATTGCTGCTATGGTTGAACAGTTCCAAATTGCTCACTTGACATGATTTTTGATTCTAAGAATATATTTTTAGTTGTTTTTAGAGGGATATTTAATAGGGATTACTTATTACTTAAGTCTTCAAAAATTATTTTGTAGTACTAAGACATGTACCAGTGTTTTAGAAAGTTATTTTGTAGTACTGAGACATGTACCAGTGTTTTGAAAAGTTATTTTGTAGTACTGAGACTTGTACCAGTGTTTTGAAAAGTTATTTAAACAATTCCAGCTTTGATTTTGATCAATAAACTTTTAAAGCAATAATTTTTAAGTAGTACCTTAAAACCAATACCTTAAAAATTAGTACTTTACCTCAAAAAATTGAAAGAGTGTTTTAAGGCGAAGAGTAAGACTTATCTCCTTTTGAGATAAAGTCATACTACACAAAGTCACTGCAATCATTTGAAACAAGTTTTTTAAAATGGCTCTATATAAATGCTCTATTACCAAAATTGAATTAAGAAAAAATAATTGCGAGAAACCTTGTTTTTGTCTTTGCAAGCGTATTTATTAAAATAGTCTTTCCCCAAAGTGATAAAATATGCAGTCCCTGAAACTTAACCTTAAATTTAATAGATAAGTATTTTTTCTCCATTTTGTTCAGAGCTACAAGCCAGTTAAAATTAGTAATTATAGTCAGCTTGTGCTTAAGGCAACACCTAACATTTTAAAACTGGTGTTATTGGTCAACACTATGGTCATTCAATTTGATATTAAAATCAAAACCACTAAGAGCCTTGGTTTTTGTAGTTGGTTTTTGAGGATCACTAAATTGTGTGCAAAACATCTTTCTCTTATTAAGAAATAATAGACAGATTTTTACATAGCTGGCAAAAAAGTTTGAATCATCTGAATTGAATGTAATTTGAGGGGTTTAGATGTTCCGGATAGTGAAAACTGCTCTGATCACCAAAGATAACTTTAACAACAAAAACATACAACAGAAGAGATCACCTAGCCTGACTCCTCTTTCCGCTGGAAAAAAAGACCTACAGATTTTCACCATCTCTAAAATGTTTATTATTGTGTACGACAATACATATTTTATTTGCATAACTTTGTTTTGGTGTAAATATTTCTATTGTACGATGTTGAGCAATTAAGTATTTCACCAAGTGCACCTTTCACCAACTTATCTCATTACCTAATGCAATTGTAACCAGGTTCATTATTTATGTGTTGTCATTCTTTTTTTTTTTGTAATTGTCTGGTTTTAATGTTGAGGTTTTGACAACAGAAACTTTAAAAGTTTTCTTGCTTCCGCATTAAGTTTGGTTTTGTGCAAATAAACACCTCTGGGAACTGGAGCTGAAAAAAGCACCACATTTTTATTTGGTGCTCCTAAATTTAGGATGCTTAAAGTTTATTACTCTTGTGACATTTCCTTATTTTATCACTAATATTTTCAAACATTGGTGATACAGATCTCAGAATATCTTAGATTATCTTGGTTTTTCTTCAACTTAATTAAATTAGTTTTAAATTTATTAAAGCTTTGTTAGCCTTTTAGTATATATAGGACGTATAGGGTATAGTACATAGTTCTAAATTATGGAAATCATTCATTATACACACAGAAAAAAAATTGATTAGAAATTGATAACAAATAAACTTTTGGTTTAAATAGGACAGCATTCTATTCGACACAAATTTTAAAGAGTTTGATTTTGGTAAACATAAAACAAACATACAAACATACATTAGACATCAATTTATCCATCATCTCCTGATTACGTTTTGATCTCTCTTCTTCAGATAATGCCATTCTAAATTTCAAATAATATTACAAAAAATTGAATATTATGGGAAAGGCTAGAAATTGTTTTTTGATTGTTTTATGTGTACATAAAGCAAGAAAATTGTATATAATATTGAAAAAGAAAATTGTATATAATATTGAAAATGAAAATTGTATATAATATTGAAAATTGTATATAATATTGAAAAAGAAAAAATTGAAAATAATATTGTATTGTAATTGCAAGAATATTGTATATAAATAATCAAAATTTTTAAAAGCAAAAAATTATATAAACAACAAAAATTAACTTGTTTGCATCTTCATCTTCCAGCTGAAAATGAAGACGAGCTAATTTTTCTTGCAAGACTTTGATATTACTCATTTTCTCTAGGTTGCAATTCTCATCTGTAATATAAATTTATTACATTCTAAACATCATTATCAACATCATATAATCAAATAAATCACAACAAACTTAATAATATTTAATTCTATATTTAATTACAATGTAACTAAAGTTATAACTAATGACAATTAATGAAAACATGCTTTGCAGACACAACCTAAATACAGGAGTATGAAATTTCTTATTGAACAGGTGTAGAACAATATGTAAAAAAGAAAAGTGTTTTCAATGAGTTAATTTCATTTTCATATTGATAGGGTAACTTCATTAATGTTAAAAGAATGCTGAACACAAAAAAAGAAAATATTAGTGCAATATTAAGAAAGTGTTCAGTAATGAGTTTAATTCTAAAATCAAGAACTAAAAATAAGGAATTTATTTGACAGAAAAATATAAAGAAACTTTTTATATCCTCATTTAAAATAGTGGTGAATATAATAACATAAATGAAAAGTATTTCTAATGTAAAAAAGAAATAATTAAATTTTTCAAATAACTAAAAATAATAAATTTTAATTTACTAAAATTTAAAAATTTTTAAAAATATTTTAAGTAAACTTCCAACAAGTGAAAAAACTATTAAGTAAATTTTCTGATTAAAAAGATTTAAATTAAATAAATTTGAGTCAACTAAAAAGTTTAGGAAACATAAAGACAGGAGAAATTTCAAAAGCACTTATGGTGGCTAAGTGTACTTTTAGAATGAAGCAACACTTACAGAACATAGATGCAACTTTGCTAAACAACAAGTCACACAAATTTTATGCTGAACAACATGTTGACAACAAGTCACACAAGTTCAATGCTGAACAATAAGTTGACAACAACAAGTTGCACAAGTTTTATACTAAACAACAATCAGTAATTTTTAAATGATCAGTTTTTTATTAAAATGGTAAGTACTTTTTTTAGATAAATGGTCAGGAACTCTTAACCCTAAACACTGACCACTTTGCTAATTTCATACTGACCATATTTTTTTATTTTATAGTGACCATATAATTAAACTAGTCCTATATGGTATCAGATAACTCAGTTGTCATATGATGACTCAGTTGTCATATGATGACTCAGTTGTCATATGATGACTCAGTTGTCATATGATGACTCAGTTGTCATATGATGACTTAGTTGTCATATGATGACTCAGTTGTCATATGATGACTCAGTTGTCATATGATGACTCAGTTGTGATGAAAGCAACTTACTTATAATGGAATTAAAGAGAATCCAAACCCATAAATGTGTAACCATTAAACATAAAGAACAAATCAGCAGTGGAAAATAAGGATCAAAGTCCATATTGATAGTCAATTTAGAGGGTTCTTAATCAAAAACTTCAAGATCTTGCAAATAATAATAAGAAAACTGATTGGTTAGAAAGTTCATCTTCAAAATTTTAAAAAAACTGTTTGGACAATACTTAAAAAGTTCATCTCCAAAGATTTTAAAAAACTGATTGGACAATACTTAAAAAGTTCATCTCCAAAATTTTTAAAAACAGGAACCACATATCTTTTCTAGATAAATGCTTATGATAAAAGCTTTCTAGATAAAAGCTTATGAGTAGTGCATCCAATACAGTATGGTAGTAAAGATACTGGAGTATTGGTATTACCGGGCTTTTTTAAGTACCGAAATACCGGCATTGTGTTGACTCAATACCAGTATTACAAATACATATACAAGGCTTGTGCGCGCACATCCTTTTCTTCACTTAAAATGCAAAATGGAGTATTTAAAATTTCTAAATTCAAGTTTAACTTCTAAAATCAGAGAAGAACTCGAGGTTTGTTGCTAATAAATTCTCGAAAGAGTTAAGCTTAGAGCTCATTTAAGATAAGTGCCATGCATAAGAGAATGCTTGACTTGCTTAGACAGATTTTCTAAACAGACTCTAAAACCTTCTGAGATTAAATTTTGTACTAATCTGGTAATAAAGGACCTTAGCACACATCTTTGCCAAATTTTTTTTGCATTTTCTTGCATTAATATAAATGCACTATTCTCCATGCATATTATTGCAAGTAATTTTCATATCATTGCAAGTAATTCTAGTAAAAAAGATAAAATAAATAATTATGATTGAAAAAAGCAGCACAAGACAGTAAAAACTTTGAAGTAGAATGAGACCAAAAAAAAAATTAAACAAGAAAAATGAATAAAATTTTACATCAGCCTAAACCAATATGATGATATAAGAAATAATTTTAAACATAAGCACATCTAAATAAAAATAGACTTAAATTTCCTGATTAATTAATCATATTAGCAGCTCAACACTGACTTATTTATGACTCCTACTTGCATAAACAGGTTAGCACTAATTAGTTAATGATTCCTGTAATATTTTTTAGTTCAAGTTGCAAAAATTGTTTACATTAAATGAGAACATGTTTGACTTCTTTTGCTGATTCGAGGTCATCTTTAAAATGTCTTCTTTACAATATTTATTATCTATTGATACTTAAAAAAATTACATCATCAAACAAAGAAATAAAAATAAAAATAAGTAAGTTTTTATTTAAGTTTTAATATCAATTCAGGTAATTTTTTAATTTGGTATTTATTTATTAAAATTAACTTTCTTATTAAAATAAATTAAATCTTTGCAAAAACATTCAAAAAATATTTTGAAATGAATCAAACATAAACATAAGTTTCAAAAGCTAGTAATAAGTTTCATTAGCTAGTATTTTGGACTTATCTGAACCAAGTTAAAAAAAATAACTGAATTGGTTTTGTTTTTTCTGAATTGGTATTGTCAAAGGTAAACAAGTCATGTAGGGATAAATCAAATAAACTTATAAATACCAGTAAATCAAATAAAATAAAAATTACCATAAGCTCAATCAGAACAAATTACCAGTAGCTTCTCACCAAGAAGCTCAATCAGAACAAGTTACCAGTAGCTTCTTACCAAGAAGCTCAATCAGAACAAATTACCAGTAGCTTCTTACCAAGAAGCTGAATCAGAACAAATTACCAGTAACTTCTTACCAAGAAGCTCAATCAGAACAAATTACTAGTAGCTTCTTACCAAGAAGCTCAATCAGAACAAATTACTAGTAGCTTCTTACCAAGCTGAAGATAATGTAAAGCTTTTATTAAATGAAAGTTCTAACAAATTTGCTATGCAAAAAAAAAAAAAATATGCTGATTTATGCAAAAAATAAGAGCTGATACTAAGGCAGGCAAACCTGAATCTGAACTAGCTGGATTGTGTAGAAAAGCAGTATTATCATCCAAGAAAAGCCAAAAGTTAAGGAAAGATTAAATGACTGCAAATTAGCTGAGAAAAAGAAATGCGAAACTGTAATGTAAATCATGTAGAGATGATAAATGATGGTCAACTGGCAGCAAACAGCCTAAAAGAGTCTGAAATGGTAAAAAAAGAGTCAAGAGAAAAAAGCTGCATTTAAAACAAAACATTTAAGTTGGTAACAACAACTAATAAGTGAATATTACTGTAGACCAATGGACAAGATATGTGTGCTGTGATACATTGAGGTGAGACCAATGAGAATGGTAACTACAACATGTGTTACCACATCGATAAAGAAGATTTACCATCTATTGAAACAACAGATTTTATTTGGAGATTATTTACAGGTGAAGATAAGCAAAGTAAAGCATTCAAAGCAAAAATTTGTTTACACAATAAAAGTTTGTTTTTCCCATCATGAAGTGGATCTGGCATTGAAGCAATGTTTGGAGAACCACTAGTTATGAGAGTAAATGGAAAGTTTTATCACAATTTAGGAAACTTAGAGGCAAATAATGGTTAACAACCTCAATTCATGAAAGTTTGGGTAAATTGTGCTTAATTATAGAATTGATAATAAATTACAGTAACTAGTAAGTAAGAGTCAGTAAGTACAAAGTCAAAATTAGTAGCCCAGTGGGATTTGGAATTGAGAAGAATTAATGGATTCATTTAGGAATTAATATCAACGAAATAAGTCATGGAACTGTGATGAAAGAACATTTGCAGAAAGAAGCTGAGTTGCATTCTTATTTGAAAAACTTGCCAACATTATTTGTGGACTTCAGAGACATACAAGTACTCACCCTTGCTCATGGTGCAATATAGAATAAAGTTTCTCTCACAGTCAGGATCTTTGAGAAAACTTAGCTCACTTGTTGCAAGTTATCAGGAATTTGCTGAGTCTCCTGATGATATCTAGCGAAGTCTTTATGCAATGTGGTCTGTGAGACATTGCTGTAGGGATTTCAAAACAAACTCATCTTGCAGCTAATACTACCTATGAATATTCTCGTTGGTGTGGTCAACCAAATGTACAAAACTATAACAGAAGTTTGGCCTAATGTTTTAAAGTTGCCCTTAGCTCTCCACATTCAACAAAAATAATATCATGGTGGGGAGTTTGCAGGGAATACTTGTCGCAAACTTCTTAGCATTCTAGACCTCTTCAGGAAAAAGTTGATCTCTTCAGGGACTCCCACATATGAGCGTAACCCAAAAAATTAATGCTGTTTTCTTTAATATAAAACAGTTCATTGAAGTAAAAAAGCCTTCTTTGGGGATTTTTAGTGAGCAGAAAACAAAAAAATGCACCATCATTTCAGCTCACACAGAAAAGAAACTGCAATCATCCAGAGTATGTAAAGTGGCTTCATGTGTTGTGAGTTAAAACAGCAAGCAAAAAATTTTAAGAAGAGTTTATATTTAGCTAATTTGCTCTTGAATAGAATCAAGAGGTTGTTATTGTGTTTTAAAATTATAATAAACACACATATAAACGTGTGTTTAAATATAAATTGATTGCTTGAGTATATAAATATAGTATTTTTTATTTCTTTTTATAGATGTATATATTTGCCAAAAAGAGCAAAATACCTAGAAAAATAAGGCTAGAAATTCTAGTTCCTCTTTAAGTGTACATGTCTTTGGACATAGGTAAAATGGAATAAACAAGTAAATATATTTAAATATAAAAATTATATGTATATATATATATATATATATATATATATATATATATATATATATATATATATATATATATATATATATATATGTATATATATATATATTTATATATATATATATATATATATATATATATATATATATATATATATATATATATATATATATATATATATATATATATATATATATATAGTAATTAAAGTATAAGACTAACCAAAAGCATTTAGTTTTCCACTTTTAAAATCAGTAAGAAGTTTAAGTAACCTGTCTTCATTTTCAACCATGTGAGCTTGATTTGATAAAAAAGTATGTTCTTGTGCATTATATTGAAACGAAGAATTTACACTTTTTGATTTTTTCATACTCACTTTTTCCATAAAATAATATTGAAAGCAAAACCAAGGCTAAATTTTTTCTTGTTATATCTTTATATACCAAAAAACAACTTTAATAATAAATTTTTTGTTTGCAGATCTTTTAAAAAATAAATTCATAAATAACTTGATAATAGAAAATAATAAACACATTAAAATAGAAAAATAAAACAAAAACAAACAATGCATGAACTTTTTCAGAAAAAAAGATGCAGAAAGCATTGAATTAAATTTTGATTCAAAAACAAAATGCATGTATTTTTTATTTTCCTTATTAAAATAAAACTTCAGAAAGTGTTGAAGTGAAGCTTTTAAAATTAAAAAAAAAACCCTTTTATGTTAGAAGGGTTGTCAATCTTAATATGTTTTGACATTATGGCAACAATATTTTCATGTTTGATAGGGACAGGTAAGCAGGGACAGGTAAGGTTTCTTAACTGTGGTTAAAGAACAAACATAGAAAACGGAAAATTAATTTTCAATCTTTATTTTTATTAGTTATGTTAAACATTTTTTTCCAAAATATATACATTTTTTGAATCTTAGGTGAAGTTTTTTATTTTAAAAAATCTGGTTACTAAGATGCTCCAAGAACAGCAATTAACTAGAAAGTTCATGCCTCCTTCTGATGTAGCAAATATGACCGGAGTTTTCATCAAAACTTGTACCTTTCAACACTGAAGTACATGCTCTAACCACTGCGCCACTGCTGCTAAGTTATGAAGGTGCAACTCTATATTTTGGCTACTATACTGATTAATGTTATTTTAGGACATTTTATACACACGCAAGAACTTTATCCCTTTAAGAATAACTTTAATAATTCTTCAAAAAAGAGAACAAAACACAAACATTATCATGTAATATGCAGCCATGATGCAGTGGTTAGAGTTCTGGCTCAAAACCTAGAGGTCTGAAGTCAGACGCCTGTGATAAGACCGTAAAGACTTCTGGAAGCACCTTATGAAAAAAAATGAAAAAATGAAAAAAAAAATATAAAAAAATAAGATTAAGGCAAAAAAAATTTTTAATACAAGAAAAAAACTAAATATCTTTTATAGAAACATTTGAAACATTTAGAATACATTACTATACAGTATCTTCAAATAAGTATATAAATAAACTGTAAAAATTCTTTCAGTATTATAAACAATAGAAACATTTATTTTAAAAAATGACATTAAGAAAATAATAAGTTAATTTAACATTTTCAAATATAAAAATCAATTAGGTTCAAAATATTACTTCAAAAGTAACAGTTATGTTAAACCATCAACAGCTCAAAATAAAAATAAAAAATCCAAAAAGTTTTATGTACAATTGAATTTATGTACAGCTGCATAATAAATTCACACAAGTGTGTGTGTTTATGTTTTTATTGACATATAGATATATACATACACATAAACATGCATACATAAAAACACACATATGTATGCAGGTATATACAAATATAAAAATGCACATACATAAATACATTATATATATATATATATATATATATATATATATATATATATATATATATATATATATATACACATAAACATGCATACATAAAAACACACATACAAATAGCCTCCTTGTCTGTAGTGGCCTTCTCGGCCTTGAGGAGGTGAATAACAAAAAAAAAAAAAAAAAAAAGCATGCATATGTAAATATAAATACATTACATTACATTATATACATACAAACATGCAAACACACACACACACATACACACACATGCATATGTAAATATAAATACATTACATTACATTATATACATACAAACATGCAAACACACACACACACACACACACACACACACACATATATATATATGTATACAAATCCCGGAATTAGGGTCGGCATTCGGCAATGCTGACCTGAAAGTGTTTGAGGTCTGCAAAAAATTGCCGACCTCGTTTCTATGTTTTATGGTTAGACCTTTGTATCAAATAGCTTTTGCCAACCTCATTTTTCCTAATTCTGAGGGTTATATATATATATATATATATATATATATATATATATATATATATATATATATATATATACATATATTTATGTATATAAATAAATATATATGTATATATATATTATGATTTATCATAATTTTTTTCAAAAACTATCAAAGTAAACATTTTTTTAGTGTTGAGAAGAACTTTGCATGCTGCACAACTTTTATAAAATTCTTTCATTGATATCTTATGTTTTGGAACATTATTCTTTGACTTAAATTGAAATGTTAAAAAGTTTATGTTGTTTAAATGCATACATACTTCATGCTTTTATGTGTACTTCATGCTTTGAGCTTTATAAACCAGTTATGGCAAGAGTAAACTTCTGAACATTTTTGTAAAAAACATCACAGATATGCACTAAACAGAAACTTCATGTATTATTTTTTTTTTATATTGACTATGCTTTTGAATGTGTGATAACGACCAACGTTGTGGCATTAGTGTTACTGTACTTCCTATACAAAGACCACACTGTCCTCTGGGTGTAAAATTGCTATTACCACATGGAAGCTTAACAAGGACTGATGCAACTCCATATAGTTGATTTGCAAAAGGTTCAAATGCTACACAAGAATGCTCCTTAAAAATAAAATTTTTATTTATTAAACAAAACTTTTTAAAATAAATAAATTTAAATATTTTTAAAAAATTTTAAGATTTCTTACTTTTGGTGTTTTATTTTTTGTGAGCAGAATTGACAAAGTTTTAAATGGACGATTTAATCTTACTTCATGCTCTTGCTGTTGTTGCTAGTAAAAAAAAAACATATGTATATATATATATATGTATATATATATATATATATATATATATATATATATATATATATATATATATATATATATATATATATATATATATTGTTACTCTTCCACCTTCCTTTTATATAAATAATATCATTTAATTTTAATATTAGACATGTTACTCGATTTCTGAGGTAGATATCATAGCGTTGCTTCACTTTCCATAAGATGATCATAATTATGACAAGTGAGCAAAAACAACTATAAACAAAATGTTTAAAAAAAATAAAATATTGAAACAAAATGTGACCAAATAAACTAACAACATCACCACATAAATTTTTTTCGGACCAAAATTATTAAGCATTCTGTTAAATAGATTAACTTACACCATAAACATTATAAGAAAATAAACTAAATCGAAAACTGCACCAGGTTGAGTTACTGTTATCTAAAAAGTTAAATTTTTTTTTTGTATTTGTTTATGAAATTTGTAAAATTAAAAAAAAAAGAAAGTAAGTTTACAATGAATTTAGCATATTCTGTTCTTTTCCAACCATAAAGAACTATTCTTGCTTCCCCATTATTAGAAAACATTTCTTTTTTAATTGTTGTAGAATAATCAACTTTGGCATTTGATATGATAACTATTGACGACTGATCATCTTTAAATTTTAAAAACACATTTCATTTTTACATAAAAGATTCATACACAAAAATATAAAAACGCATAAAAGGCATATACAGAAACAAATACATAAGTAAACTTATATACTAATGCACACACACACACACAAATATATATATATATATATATATATATATATATATATATATATTTTTTTTTTTAATTATCTTCGCTTCCAACAAGGCTGCAAGCAACAACTAATTAGTGTTGGAAGTTACTGGAAGAGAAAAGATGAAGATTGTAGAGCAAGATAACAATTGACAGACAACTTAAAAGATTGCAAATTATATGAATCAGGAAAGCCAGATGAAGGAAGCGAATTCCAAAGAACTGATGTTCGAGGAAAAAAACTAGACAAATAAGAGTTTTTGGAGCACTTAGGAACAGTAACAGAAAAAGGATGAGACTTAATTGAATGACGAGTAACACGAGAATGAATTTTAGTAGATGGCACAAGAGACGCTAGCTCCTTCGAGCAGTGCCCATTATAGTATTTGTAGAAAAGAGAAAGAGAAGCAACATTACGACAAATGTGACAAAGGTTGAAGGTTGGCTGCAAGAGCAGGTCCAACTATGTTTACAATGCGCTTTTGCACCTTGTTTAAAAGAGAAAGGGCATCATTAGAAGATCCGCCCCAGATATGGCTACAGTATTCCATACAAGGCCGGATTGGAGATTTATAGAGATAGAGAATAGAATCCAGAGTAAGAAAGTGACGAGCTCGATAAAGAGAGGCAACTTTAGCAGATGCTAATTTTGCAACAGATTTGATAAAAGGTTTCCAAGAAAGATCAGAAGTAAGAGTTAATCCTAGAAGATGAAGGGTAGGAGACTCATCGAGTACATTACAGTTCATAAATATTAAAGTTCACCAGCCACAGTGAACCTCATGCTGTAGCAGAAGTGAGATCCTTTTCAAGCTCAGATGCCCCCTGCAAGCAATCAGAGGGAGTTGGCTTCCTATCGTGTCAAGAATAAATGGTAGTATCATCAGCGAACAATGCCACCTTAGATGTGAGAATATCTGGAAGATCGTTAATGTAAATTAAAAAGAGCATAGGGCCAAGGATTGAACCTTGGGGAACCCCTGAGGTTACAGAATAAGAAGAAGAGTGCTGTCCATCAAGGACAACTTTTATACTACGATTGAAAAGAAAGGATTCAATAATCTTAAAGATGTTTCCAGATACACCGTAAAAAGAAAGCTTATGGAGAAGACCAGCATGCCAAACTTTATCAAACGCTTTAGAAATGTTGAGAGCAATGGCCTTAACCTCTCCACCTTTATCTATTGCGCGATAAAACCTATCGGTTATTACTGTTAGCAAATCAGCTGTAGAATGAGAAGATCGAAATCCATATTGATGATCAGAGAGTAGGTTATGAGATTCGAGATGAGAGATTAAGTGTTTGTTAATTTAAGATTCAAAAACCTTGCTAATGATAGGAAGAAGACTAATGGGACCGTAGTTAGACAAATCAGATCGCTCTCCAGAATTTTTAAAAATAGGGATAACAGATGCTGGTTTCCAGCAGGCTGGAAAACAAAACACTGAAAAGCACTTCTTAAATAGTTTTGAAAGGATAGATGACAGCTCCGGAGAACACTTCTGCAAGACTATAACAGGTATGTTGTCCGGGCCGCAAGCTGTGGAAGAGTCTAAGCAGGAAATCACTTTAGATACAGAAGCTGGAGTGATACGGATGTCAAGCAGTGGATCAACCTGTTTGACGGCTATATCAGGTAGAACGCAACTAGTGGAATCAAGAGATAATATTGATAAAAAGTTCTTGGTAAACAATTCAGCTTTGTCTTTAGGTTGGTGACAAAGTCTGAACCATACAAAAGAGGTGGAATTACAGACTTGCCTTTAATATTGATACTATTAAAGATTCTCCAGAAGTCACGAGAGCCTAATTTTTGTGATGAAATACGAGATTTCATGATCTGAGAATAGCGGGCTTTGGCGTTAGACAAAACCTTTTTACAATGGTTCCTAGCAGTAATAAACATTCTCCAATCTGTTTTCTGGAGAATTGTTTTGCTGATAGATATGGAAGTAATGATTTCGATTGGCAATTGCAGCAGCACAATGTGAGGAAAACCATGGAGAAGAGTGAGGCTTGACCTGGAATCGTCGAGAGAGAATAAAGGATTCCATGCCAGCCTGAACCCACGAAGTTATGTAAGAAGCACATTTGTCAACAGGAAGACGAAAGATTTCTACCCGAGGGCCATCACGAAGAAAATCATGGAAAGAGTCCCAGTCAGCTTTAAGGTAGTTGTAAGATGTGCGATGATAGGGGGATTTTAATGGTAAAGAAGAATGAGATAATAGTTTTAGAGAGACCAAACCATGATCAGAAGCACCTATGGGTGAGTGTGAAGAAACTGAGCACTGACTAGGATCAGAAACAAGACAAAAGTCGAGTAAAGAAGGTAAATGGTTCGGGTTGTCTGGAAAGCGAGTTGGAAAGTTGACTATTTGAGTTAGGGATTGAGACAAAAGTTGTGGGCCTTAATGCCTGCAGAGTCACTGACACTAGAGCCAAGCCATTCAGTGTGATGAACATTAAAGTCACCGACAACAACAATATTGACTGATGGATAAAGAATGAGGGCTTAGTCAATATAATCAGAAATAACATCAAGAAGAGTGCAGTCTTGAGATGAGGGAGAGCGATATAAAACAAAGAGAAAGGTGATAGAGTGAAGTGGTGCTAAACGAAAGCACATAAAAGAGTAGCCTGTGGATTCAAACCTAGTTTCCCGACAAATGGGTGAATTTTTACGAATGTAAATGCCTAGGCCAAGCATGTGACTATTGGAGTCTTTACGAATTAAAGGAAGATAACCGTCAACACTAAGATCACAAGATGAGACAGCTGAACTCAAATTAGTCTCACAAAGAGCAAGTAGGTCTGGTGAACTTTGCAAGAGATAAGACTCAACAGAAGAAAAGTTACTTCAAAGACCACGAATATTGGTGAATGATAGGTTTAGCGAACTTGGCGATGACTGTGGTTTTTTGTGTTTTATAGTTTTTGTTGCTTTATTCATTTTTAAATTTGTTAAAGAACTTGAGTTGAAACATAGATAGTACTCAGTACACTGTTTTATAGCTCAAGCAATTGCCTCATTTCCACTAATAAACCCTATGCTTAACAAAGGGCTCCAATGTGGCCTTGGCAATGCACACCAAAAGTACAAACAGGGACACCATCCATGGGCAACATGGCACTGTTAGTACTCTGATATTTTTCAGCTGTTGATGGAATCAGCCTCTCTGAGAGCTACCACAGAGTTCAGGAAACCTGACTACTAGCCGGCCTCAGAACCATAAAACTGAGTTTTAGAGCTGTACCCTCATTTGGAGATAATAGAATGAGTTGCCTAGTCATAAAAACAGAGACACAAGTAAAACCCATGAATCGAGTCAAGAAGATCCAGCGTTCAACATCCTAACTGGAAACAATGTATTAAAAATACATCTGCGCCAGCCTAATAGATGAAGAAGAGGTGTGAGGCTGGTCAACAGATAGAATCTGTTTACCCCTTAAGTATATATATATATATATATATATATATATATATATATATATATATATATATATATATATATATATATATATATATATATATATATATATATATATATAATATATATATATATATATATATATATATATATATATATATATATATATAAATATTATATATATATATATATATATATATATATATATTTAATTGTAATTATATATATATATATATATATATATAAATATATATATATATATATATATAAATATATATATATATATATATATATATTTATATATATATATATATATATATATATGATTAACACAATAATGACTTCAGTACATTTTTGCACAGATGTACTCAAAGACAGGCAAAGATAGACTAATAAATGTAAGTAATATACAGGAAATAAACAAATTTATGTATACAATAAATTTTTTTCTTAAGTATTTACCATAATATACTGAAATGTTAATCAGAGCAAAACCTCCAGCTTCTCTTTTTATACTAATCTTCAGATTACTATCCTCCTTTTAAAAAAGATGAAAAAGGTAAAAAAATGTGTTATAATGATGTCATAAAAACTAAAAGTTAAATAGCATTCTTAAATATTATATAAAAATTAAAAGAGGTTATTCTACTACTTAACCATTGGTTAATAATTGTACAAGTGCAAAATTTCAATAATTTGTAAATGTTTAAAAAATCTTAAAAATGATTTTCAAAAACTTTTGAAGACTCAAAAAAAAAATATACAAAAAGAAAAAAAGTAAAAATGGTAATCTCAAAAATTTTTTTACTTTTTGTTAAATATGCTTTTTAAAAAATATCTCAAAAAAAGTTTTTTTGTGATAATTGTCCTAAAAAACCTTTTTTGACAATTATCAAAAACTTTTTTATTTCACCAATGACAGCTTTAGATTTTAACTATTACAGTTTTTTTTCTGGATTCTGGGCTTTAATTTTAATTAGAGCTGGACAGAAATAAACAGAAATTTAAAGCTGGAGTCATTTTGGGACTCTGCATCCCTGCTAGTGGTAAAATATTATGCATACTGCATTTTGGTAATAACGAGTGGTTATTAAAAAACAGGACTAAGATTAACTGACTTTAAAACCCAAAAGCTAAACTCTTTTTTTTTTCATTTTTATATCCATTTTAAAGCTTATTTAATTCTCTATAACCATAGATCAGTTAAGTCATATTATAAAAATCCGGAAAATTGTTTGGATAAAACATCCAGAAAAAATCTGAAATGTTTTCCCTTATTTTCCTTTTAATTTTACTTTTAGCTGAGTTGTTTCTAATTTTTGTTTTCAAATTTTTTTATGAGTGATGAGTGAAAAAGCTTAAAAAATAAATTTATCAAAAAAACATATACATATTAAAAAAAATTATAAAAACAATGATGTCCGAGCAAGATAAGATGAGAAAACAGATTTACTAGTTCTAATTGAATAATAAATTGAAAGGTAAAAAGTTTACAATAGATCACTTCAACGCTGAACAAATTCCAAGCAGTACTTTCTATGATAAAATCAAACATGCTGAAAATAATTCTGGGCACAAAAGAGTGCAAGGAAGTGGTCTGGCCGCTTCTGACAAGGGTATTTCTAAGCCATTTTTCGTCCATAGCAGCCATGCAGTCAATAAAGCCATCTCATAATGGATTGTATGAAGGGAAGATTAGTGTTGTTCATCAACGCTCATCATGCCGATGGTAATTATGTATTTTGGCCGGACCTGGCCTCATTGCATAATGCCAAAACCATGACCAACTGCTATAAGACTCATAACATCAATTTTGTCAAAAAAGTTGACAATCCGCCAGCTGTACCAGAGTGTCACCCAATCAAAGACTATTTGGCAACTTTGAAAGGCAAAGTATATGAGGGTAACTGGCAAGCAAAAGACACAAAGCAACTGCAACCCAGAATAAAGCATTGTCTGAAAAAAATTGACCTTCACCTCGTATTTTCACTTTTTTGGGTCAACTTGTCTTAGAGTTGGCTGAACCCTAAGAAATAGACTGGTTGAAGATAAACTTAATTAAAATAAATAACTAAAAACTCTATTTATTTATATTTTTATTTAATCCCTTATAAACTATGAGAGCCCTTAAAAGTAAATTTGAATTTTTAGTAACCACCATTATTAAAGGTATTTTTAGGTAATTCGAAAAATGGAGTAATTAACATTTAATAACTATTTTTCAAAAACTAGAGTTACAAATGTTTGAAATTGAAATTTGATTGTTTAAAAAAAAAAAAAACTAATAATAATTGAAAAATAATTTAAACTATTTTAAGCTAACCTTTTTACTTGAAATATTCAAATACAAAAAAATTTGTTGCTTGTTTTAATTTGATGTTATTAAACAAAATAAAAATGAATGAAATTTGTGTTAAAAAAATTATCTAGTGAATATTTAATTATACTTTGTTACTATGAACCTAATTTTGTATGTTGTTAATTAAAAATTAATTAAAAAAATAAAATATTTATTTACTTACTTTTAAGTGAAAAAACAAAAAGTTAATAAACAAAATGTAAATAAAGTCGATTTCTGTTCAGCTAAATGATAAAGCACATTTACTTTTAACTAAGTTGGTACCACTTTTAAACGATAGAACTAGAGCTGCAAAAAAACGTTTTTTTTGACCCAAAAAAAGCATTCAATTGCAACAATTGTGTGAGCATTTGATTATTTTTGCCTTTCACAATCAGCCTACAATCGCATCAGAGAAGAGATTGAAAGTTTACATACTTTAGGAAGAATTACATCTTAATGTAAGTCTTTAGATGATACCACTTACATCAAACATATTTTTTCTAACCTTAGAGATGAAAGACAAAAAACATGCATTTTACTTCTTGATGAGGTTTATGTTAAACCCATGTTACATATGGTTACATATGTTACCATGGTGACATAGTATTTGGTTAATCACTTAACAAATCTCATTTATTAGCAAACACAGTACTGAGCTTTTTGGTTGTAACATTGTTTAATAAACATAGATTATCCTGGCCCTATTATAAAAATCCGGAAATTTTTTTTCCTTAAATATCCGGACAAAAACCGGAAAATTTTTTTGTAATATCTGGAAAAAATCTGGAATTTACAAAGAGATGTTAACAAGGAGGGAGGAAGGCGTGCTCTCCTCCATTCTTTTATATTACTATAACATTACGCCAGTTTAAGAGTATCCTTATTCAACGTATGAATAAAAAACTTTTTCATCAAAAAAAGAATAATAATAATGATAAAATTTTAACAATAATAATAAGATAAAGTCAAAGAAGAAGTAGAAAACTATATTTAAAAGCTGTTAAACAATGCGGAAACTTTTTTAGACATGCACTTATACGTTTAAATACATAATGGATAATGTAATATTGCTTCAATTCACCAAAGATATACAAATAGAAAAACGTTTAACGCGTTGTTAGAGACCAGAGGCGCCACCATAACTGAAATCCCATGGGCGTTATTTGAGCGTTTTGGTTTTTTTGTAGTAATTTTACAAAATAAACCGACATATATCTGAGACTTTTGCTTGCCAACTTCTTTCAGTAAACATTTTATTACCTGTAAAACACCAACTTTTGGAAAATATAAATGAATTTTATTTTAACTATTTTTGAAGCATACTTCAATCGCAGTAAAAAGAAAGGAACTAATAATAATAATAAACACCAGACTTCTAAAATACAAAAAATTAGAAATCTTTAGTAATAAATATGTTAAAAAAGAAAATAAATAAATAAAAAGTAAAAAGATATTTAATTATTTTTCTGTAATCAGATAGTTTTCTACAATTAGTTCTTCCACTCAGTGTTTAAAATGTTTTAAACTTAATTTACAATACAAAGTCTTCTTTTATAAAAAAATCTCCACGTTCAAAAACTAAAAAAGCTTAAAGGTTCGTTATATATAGTTTAAATTTTAAGTTTATTTTAACTATGATAAACAAAAGGTGAGGCATTATTAATGATTCCTGTGCTCATTCATGTGATTCAAAATTTAAAAGATTTAAAAAAATGAACCTTTTAAATTAAAAAAAAACAACATATTTTTAAATCTTTTTAAAAAAATGATTTTTTTAAAGAAAATATAATTAATTTTAACGGGCGCTTTTTGAATTGAAAAGAAAACGCGCCTCAAAATGCGATGTTTTTAAAAACTTATTAATGACATTTAAAAGCAATTTGATTCACTTGACCTTTAGTCAAAGAACATATGTTTAGATTTCTTTAAAATAATTACATAGAATAAAATCCTTATAGTTTAGAATATAGTTTTATTATATAACACTTATTTGTATGAAATAACTTATTACTAACAAAGTAATTAATCTTAGTCAGTATTAATAAGTTTTTTTTTTATAAGTTTTTTTTCACTCTTTACGAAAACAAGTTGTACCGCACAACCATAATGTTACACCACGGTATTATAGTAACTGTAAGATTAATAGAAGTTTTTTACTAGTTGAAGGTCATACCAAATTTCTTATTCTTAGATCGAACTTTTTGTTTCACTGCTCTCTAGAATTAGATTTTACTTATCTCAAAAGAGTTTAAATTTAACGATATTTCTCATATTTGACGGAAATTAAAAACTGATTTCTCTCATAGCTTTTGTAACAGAATTTTTATTTACGAGTACCGTTTATTCTACCATTATCATAACTTTTTAAATACCATCGTCAAAACTTTTTAAAGTCTCCAATTAATAAGAAATTATGTGAAAAAATGATACTTTCAAAGAAGTGTGTACGAAAAAAGACTTGCAATGGTATGACTGGACAGAAAATGAAATAATGATGCAGTAAATTTTGAACCACCAACAAACAAACTGAAAAAAGTTTCAGTCCATAAGCGAAGTAATTTACTTAAAAAAAAAAAGTTTTTAACAATAAAAAAAAAAATCTCTTTGTTAATAGCTAAAAGAGCTATTTAAAAAATGTAAATTTACAATATTTTTAAAAAAGAGAATAGTTTGACACGCATCGCTAATTTTATTTTAAAAGTAGGAGATCATTCGCTCTTTTGCGCAGGGATTTTTCTTAAACTTTAATTAAAATGCTTATTATTTTTGGTTTACTCTGCGAGGGAAATCTTTTAACCTTTTTGGCTCTGTTTGTTAACTAAATTTAGCGTTCCAGAATGTATGGACAACAAATTTACTGTTTATATATACTTGTTACTGTTTCATTTGATGACAGTAATAAACAGAAAAAATTTTATAAATTGTATTTTAGAAAATTATTTATTTATCCGGAAAATATAAAAAATTTAAAAAATATCCGGAATTCCGGAAATATCCAGAAAAAGATAATTCTTGAATAAACCAAAATTTCTTTACAAAATGTTACCAGTTAGAGAACTTGATGCTGAATTTATTTTCAAACAGACAACCCTGATTCTTGATGCAATTAAAAATAATGGAGGCAATGTTGTTGCTATTGTCTGTGATGGTAACAGAGTTAGTCAGGGAATACAATATGAGCTTAAGGATAAACTAAATATTTAACAATTATGCTTAAATTAGACTTGAATTATTTACAAAGGTTTACCACAGCACATAAAAAAAACTGATTAGTTTCTTATCTACATTATTGATCTTCCTGACAATCCTACATCTAAAGTAGCTCTTTTTGCTGATGACTTAAGTTTTTACTTCTGTCTTGTCAAAAAGTCTTCATATTTTGATCGCTTAAAACAGGCAGCCAATTTTGAATCTGATCTCACTTCTGTAACAGATTGGGGTTCACATATTTTGGCTTATAAATTTTAACTCCAACAAAACTCAGTTATTTACTGCAAACAACTTCAACAATACTGTCGACAATCCTATATTACAAAATGGCAATCCTCTCACTGAGTCCTCTCAATTGCTAAATTAGCATCCCTTTATCATGATTGTCATTTTCTTACCCTTGATTCCATTCTCTACCTCTACAAATCTCTTATTTGTCCCTGTATGAAGTGCTGTGTTCATATTTGGGCTTGTTTTTCTAATGATACTCTTTTTTTTCTAAACAAAAATGCTTTGCAAAAATAGTTAGAACCGCTCTATCTGCTAAGCTTGAGCCTTTTCCCCATTGTCATAATGTTGCATCTCTTTCTTTTTTGTACAAATTCTATCATAGTCGCTGCTCAAAAGAGTTATCATATCTAGGTCCATCAACAAAAACTCATTTTTGCTAAGTCTCATTCATTAATTGTTAAATCTAATTAAATCTAATAAATGTAAATAAACAATGTTTTTTGTGTCAATATACATTATAACCAATAAAGATTTGCGGAAGATAAAATTATTTAAAAAGTTTTTATACAGGACTACTTCAACCATGTTCAACCTTTAAGCATACTAAAATAAAAAAATTTCAGTAAATTTCAGTATTAATTGTCCTATTTAAATCAGAAATTAAAATATGAACTAAGATATTGCCATTAAAGTTAAATTTAGTAGCTTAAACAATGAATTTTTGAATATTTCCCAAAAAAAAAAAAAAAGCAAGAACCATAAAAACGACTCACATCTCTAGATAGAACACATTTACTTTTAACTAACTTGGTGCCACTTTTAAAAGTTAAATTGTTTTTTATTTTAACTTAATGATTTATTTTATCAGTTGACAAACACAACATTTATTACAAATATGTACACTAAAACAAGCTAAAAAAATCTACAATGAAACTATAGCTCTTACAATGTCTCAATTTATATTTAGAAGAAATGTATTAATTTTTTTTTTCCTATATAATATATAAAGTTATGGATAAATATAATAAATATATAATGAATGAGTTTATGTAAAAAATAATATAAATGCTTAGATTTGGTTTTAAATTTTACCCATCTATTGTTAAACAATGTTCTGTTATTCAAATATTATTTAACTCCTTGTAAACATTAAAAATATGCTTAATATAAAATACCTTCAAATTAGGTTTGACACTATATGCTGCAACAGTATATCTTGATAAATTTTGAGGATACTCATAATCCACTGAAAGTTTAACTAAAAATAGAAGTCTTACACTAATAAAAAATAAGTAGTTATTTATGGAAAAATTGATGAGAAAATAATTGACCAATTTTCAAAATGGATTTTTTTTTATAAACGATTTATAGATGATATATTTTATTAGCTTGATAGAGTCCTATACAACCAGTAATAAAAATAGAACACAAATTGTCAATATTAATGATAAAGGTAAAAATTATAAACAAGCATTGGATACTAAAGATCTCTTATGATGAATAACTGATGAATAAAAAGTTGACTATTAGTTACTAAAAAATGAAATAAAAAGTTAAAACATTTTAAAACTAGTAAAACCTTCAAAACTAATTATTAAAATTAAAGATATTTTTTCATAAACTATGCATAAACAACATGAGTAATTTATAACTTACAAGTAACTAAGTAAATAAGTTACTCACAATAACAAAAGCCACCATTAGTTGCATTACCCACAAATCCATTTTTATCACAACTAAAAATTAAATTTTGTATAAAAAATAAAATAAAAAAAAATTCAGTTTGTGGAAATTTAATTTTTACCCTTGGTTTAGTTTCAAAAACCATTAACATAAAAAAACCTTTACAAAATGGCATATATTAAAAACCATAAAAAAGACCATACAAAGATAACATAAAAATTATATTGATATTATAAAATTTTCTTAATAGTGGTAGCCAAGGTAGTTTTATTATTTTATTAACATTATTTTCTACTGTTTTTGATACTTTACTGTTAAAATTGTTTTACTTAAAAGGTAATTTGCTGCAACTACATCTAGGTCTGATCTTTTATGACCATTTTCGACAAACGTACCTATTATAAAATGAATCTCATCTATCATGTACTTTCTAGAATAGATTTTGGTGCCTCGTTATATAAAACCTTTAAAAACTTCAGTAATAATAAAAATTTAGACTTTAAAGTACCTGTGCAACCTACTCATAATAGAGCTTGTGTTAGAAAAAGAATGACAACCCTTATTACCGATAAAAAAATTTCTTAGAGAGCAGAAAAAATCCAGCAGATCTGCAAATCTACTTAATAAGAAACACATAAATAATTATAATATAAAATAAATATAAAAAACTATAAAAAACCTACTAAATAAGAAATACATATATAAATAAGAGGAACAGGTATTGATATATCTCAATCCACGCTGCAGAGATGCTTGAAAGAGTTTGGGCAAATCTTTTAACGACTAGTTTGAAAATCTAAATTAATGCTAACCATGGTGAAAAAGCGCTTAGAATGAGCAAAAAAATCACTAAAACTTCACCTATAATGATTGAAAAACTAAAACTTCACCTAGGATGATTGGAAAGGGGTAATTATAAAAACTCTAACAAACAATTAAAACTATAAATAACAAAAGCAGAACAAGTAGAAAGTTAAATAGTGAAAAGAAAGTTGCAAATAATGGCCTTGAAAAACATGAATATCTTAATAACACCTTTAGATTTCTCATCCATTATGACAATGACCCCTGCATTAGTGACCAGGACTCTTGAAATCAAAGGCTGATCAAAACAACAATTTGTGGATTGGCAAAAACCAATCAGCTCTGCATTAATCAATCATCAGAAGTAATATTAACCACATCTTACAATAAACCAAGTTGATTGTAAGATGTGGTTGATATTGCTTCTGATGATTGATTAATGTAATTAATCTAATTTAAAACTAATTTTAAAACTTTTTAAATCTGTATTAGATATTTTATATCTGTATTGAGAAATTAAACGCAACAAGATATAAATAAAGAGCAATTATATGGTTATGCGATGCATGACAGAGTAACCAATAACATGTGGAGATTAGCCAATGTTACATCATTATATGCTTCATGCTCTGCTGCCTTGTAGGATACGCTTTTTAAGGCAAAAGCTAGTAGAAGCCAACTCCAACTTAAAATACCCCATGCCTTAGGGCTCTTGATTGAGTAAAAGCTAGAGATGTTGTCTCAATAAAAATATTCAATTTCGGCAGATGTTAAATAAATCTAGCTACTGTCTTGTAAAAGCGTCCTTGGCAAAGACTTAAGAGGTAAACAGATTGAATCTGCTGACCAGCCTCGCACCCCTTCTTCATCTATTAGGCTGACGCAGATGTATTTTTAATACATTATTTCTAGTTTAGGATGTTGAATGCTAGATCCTCTTGACTCAATGCATGGGTTTTGCTTGCGTCTCTGTTTTTACGACTAGGCAACTCATTCTATTATCTACTAATGAGGGTTAACTCTAAAAATCAGTTTTATGGTTCTGAGGACAGCTGAAAGACAGGTTTCCCGAACTCTCTGGTAGCTCTCAGAAAGGCTGATTTCATCAACACCTGAAAAAAATCAAAGTATTAACAGTGCCATGTTGTGCATGGATGGTGTCCCTATTTGTACTTTTGGCGTGCATTGTCAAGGCCACATTTGGAGCCCTTTGTTACGGATTAGGGCTTATTAATGGGAATGAGGCAATTCCTTGTGCTATTAAGCAGTGTACTGAGTAGTATCTATGCTTTGAGTCTAGTTCTTTAACTAATTTAAAAATGAATAAAGTACCAAAAACTATAAAACAAAAAAAAACCATCATCATCACTATGTTCTCTAAACCTATCATTCACTAATATACGTGGTCAACAAAGTACAGCTGTTTCATCTTGTGATCCAAGTGTTGGTGGTTATCTTCCTTTAATTTGTAAAGACTCCAATAGTCACATGCTTGGCTTGGGCATTTATATTCGTAAGAATTCACCCATCTGTTGGGAAACTAGGTTTGATTCCACAGACTATTCTTTTTTGTGTTTTCGTTTAGCACCACTTCATTTTATTGCCTTGGTCTATATTGCTCTATATTACCTCTTTTTGTTCTATATTGCTCTCCTTTATGTCAAGACTGACCTCTTTTTGATGTTATTTCTGATCAAATTGACCCTCTCTTTATCCATCAGCCAATATTGTTGTTGTTGGTGACTTAAATGCTCATCACACTGAACGGTTTGGCTCTAGTGTCAGTGACTCTGCAGACATTAAAGCCCACAATTTTTGCATTTCTCAATCCCTAACTCAAATAGTCAACTTTCCAACTCACTTCTCTACTTTACTTATGCCTTGTTTCTGATCCTAGTCAGTACTCAATTTCTCCACATTTACCCTTAGGTGCTTCTGATTACAGCTTGATCTCTCTAAGACTATTGTCTCATTCTTCCTCATCATCTGAATCCTCTATCATCTTACTTCTTACAACTACTTTAAAGCTAACTGGGACTCTTTCCGTGATTTTCTTTATGATTGCCCTTGAGTAGAAATCTTTTGTCTTTCTGCTGACAAATGTGCTTCTTACATAACTTTGTGGATTTAAGCTGGCAAGGAATCTTTTATTCCCTCTTGATGATTCCAGATCAAACCTCACTCTTCAGCATGGTTTTGTTCACATTGTGCTGCTGCAATTAAAGACAAAGCTGAATTGTTTGCTAAGAACTTTTCATCAATATCATCTCTTGATTCCACAAGTTGCGTTTTACCTGATTTAGCCAAACAGGTTGATCCATTGCTTGACATTCGTATCACTCCAGCTTCTGTATCTAAGGTGATTTCCTGCTTAGACTCTTCTACAGCTTGCGGCCCGGATAACATACCTGTTATAGTCTTGCAGAAGCGTTCTCCAGAGCTGTTGTCTATCCTTTCAAAACTATTCAACAAGTGCTTATCAGAGTCTTGTTTTCCAGCCTGCTGGAAAGCTGCATCTGTTATCCTTATTTTCAAAAAATTCTGGAGAGTGATTTGATTCGTCTAACTACTGCCGCATTAGTCTTCTTCCTGTCATAAGCAATATTTTTGAATCTTTATTTAACAAACATTTAATCTTGAATCTTGAATCTAGTAACTTTCCGTCATCAATATGGATTTTGATCTTCTTGTTCCACGACTGATTTGCTAATAGTAATAAATAATAGATTTTATCGTATATTAAATATACGATAAAGCATGGGGCTCACAGCGGCTGGTGAACTTTATTTCAGATAAAACTCAATTTTTTCAGCCAATCGTTATCGCAATAATTTAGATCTTTCTTTATTTATGAACGGTAATATACTTGATGAGTCATCTAACCTTCATCTTCTAGGATTAACTCTAATTTCCAATCTTTCTTGGAAAACCATACATCAAACCCATCTTACTCCGGATTCTATTCTCTATCTCTATAAATCTCAAATCCGGCCTTGTATAGAATAATGTTGCCATATTTGGGGTGGATCTTCTAATGATGCCCTTTCTCTTTTAGACAAGGTGCAAAAACGCATTGTAAACATAGTTGGACCTGCTCTTGCTGCAAACCTCCAACCATTATCATATTGTCGTATTGTTGGTTCTCTTTCTCTTTTATACAAATACTATAATGGACACTGCTCTAAATAGCTAGCGCCTCTTGAGCCATCTTCTAAAATTCATTCTTGTGTTACTTGTCATTCAATTAAGTCTCATCCTTTTTCTGTGACTGTTCTTAAGTGTTCTAAAAAGTCTTATTCCTCTAGCTTTTTTTCTCCATCATCAGTTCTTTGGAATTCAGTTCTTTCATCTTGCTTTTCTGATCCATATAATTTGCAATCTTTTAAGTCATCTGCCAATCGCTATCTTGCTTGACAATCTTCATCTTTTCTCATTCAGTAACTTCCAACTCTAATTAGTGGTTGCTTGCAGCCTTGTTGGGAGTAAAGATGTTAAAAAAAATATATACATGTATTATAAGAGTGGCAATCATATCAACCCAGCAAACTATTGCCCAGTGTCATTGATTTTCCAATTCTATGTAAAGTTTCGGAGCAAATTGTCATAGACAGACAGATAATGAATCATATTTACTTGAACAAACTCATCGCTAAAGCACAACACAATTTAGTTCACAATAAAAGTTGTGTTACCAATTTACTGGAAAGAATAGATGAAGTCACAACAATACTCAATTTATTTTTAATTTTTGCTTATCTTTTTAATTTTTGCTTATCTTTTTAAAATCTTATTTCCTTTTCTAAGCCTTATATTTTTCTTATAAAAATATAAGGCTGAAGATTTTTTTTGCTATAAAAATATATTTTTTTTGCTTAATGAATGGTTCACTGAAGAGGTTTTTTTAAATGATTTAATTTATAAACAAGCTTTTTCAAGGTATTTCCCTTTTTTTAATTTGCAATTATAACATAACTTTTTCGCTGCGTTTTAATTAAAAAAATATACAGTATTGGGCAAAACATTTGCAACCAACATCGAACAATGCTAAAAAGTGTTCCTAATTTTACATGTCTTAAAAACGAAACGAACTATACTACCACAGCAAACAGTTCAGGAGTCTGGAGTCATAGCATGCCATGACATGAGCAATCAGCTGACAGGTGAAAGCACACAGACAGAATTTCGTTGGCAAGTGCTATTTTGCAGTGGACAAAACAAGTGCAACTTTTTTGGTTTGTTTCATTTTCTTAAGTCTGGTCCGTGTCAATGTCACAAAAGTTTTTTAATAATTAAAGGAAGTATCCAGAAGTTTCCAGAAGCATGCAGAAGCTTCCAGAAGTTTCCAGAAGAAGCATCTGGAAGCATCCAGAAGTATCCAGAAACATTTAGAAGCATCCAGACGCATACAGAAGCTTCCAGAAGCATCGAAAAGAAGCATCTAGAATCTTCCAGAACAGGTTTACACAGGTTCATTTTACTATATAAGAGACATGTAAACCGACATGTAATTCAGTAAGTATATGGAAGTCAATCAGTCAGTATTATCAAGACAGTTTATCAAAGTGAGTTTTATCAAAGTGTTTTATCAAAGAACATCAATACAAGAAGTGAAATACAACAAGTGTTTCATTACATCAATACAGTCCACATCCAACCAAGACGTTGTGTTCCACAGAGCATTATTGTATCATCACAAGGTAAATGTAACAGGGTAAGCCTTGAGAAGCGTGATTTTTTTTTATTCTTATTTTTATGACTTTAAGTGCAAAAATGGCTCCCAACAGTCTTGGATTGGAACTAAGAAAGAAAATTATTGGCGATTAGATAAGTTAAATGTCACAAAAAAGTATTTGTGATAAATATCGCGTGAAAAAATGGACTGTATCAAGACTAGGTTCCAAATATCCTTTTAAAGGGAAGTTGGCAGCAGATAAGGTGGAAGACCGCGTTCCACCACTTCTAGAGAGGATTCTATGATTGTCAGATCCGTCAAGAAGGATCCCTGGATATCATCAGTCGAGATACAAAAGCAATTAGAGCTGCCTGTATCGGACTGAACAATCAGACGACGTGCTGTTGAAGCCGGATTGTTTTCTCGACGCCCTGCAAAGAAACTGCTGATTTCACTAAAGAACCAGAAGAAAAGACTCCTGTTTGCTACATCTCATATTGACTGGAATATGCAAAAATGTGCAGAAACTGTCCTGTTCAGTGATGAATCGAAGTTCAACATCATTGGGAGTGATCGCATTTGCCGTGTACGTCGGCGGTCCAATACATCGAATCGATGGTCTAGGTCTAGGTCCAATACATCGAATCGATGGAATAATAATAACCATTTCATGTATAAAAATATCCTGAAAGATGTTACCTCATGCTGAATGGAATATGCCAATAAAATGGGTTTTTCAGCAAGACAATGATCAGAAACAAACTTCAAAAGTAGTCAAGCAGTGGTTTCAAGACAACCACATATCGGTGATGGATTGGCCGCCTCAATCTCTGGATCTCAACCCTATCAAGAACCTGTGGGAGATTGTCAACCGCAGAATTAATCGTGAAGGTGTTCGTAATAAGGATCAACTGTTTGAACAAATTCAAAAGGCCTGGGCAGCGATTCCACAAAGTTTCATTGATCACCTGATAGAATCTATGTCTCGAAGATGCAAGGCTGTGATCGACAACAAAGGATTCGCCATGAAATATTGATAGCGAAATACTTGGTCAATATTTTGTAGAGTTGCACTTGTTTAGTCCAGAAGGAAATCAACTTTTTTTAATACTTTTGATTAATTTATTAATTTTTGTGTACAAATAATCAACTTTGTGATGAATAAAACTTGAAGAATGTTGTCCCTAAACAGTTACATAATTATTTCTCTAAATTGAAAAAATGCAGCACTTTTATATAAAGAAACTAAATTAGAATTATTTGGTTGCACTTGTTTTGTCCGATACTGTATATATATTAATATAAATATATATTAAAACAGAAGTTAAAAAAATAACATTAATAAGAGCAAGTTAGTAAGTTATCATTAAATTTTTTATACCTTACATCTTAAAAAAGGGTATAAGTTAAAAAATGCAACTTTTATAAAAACACTTATTTTTGTTGACGTCAAAGATAAATACTTTGATCAGACAAGATTTTAATTGAAAGAAAAGGCAAAAAGCTTGAACTTTCTTTCATGAAACGAATATGGCGCAACCTTCGGAATTAAGGTCGGTACTCTGCAATGCCGAACTAAATGTGTTTGAGGTTGGCAAAAAATTGCCAACCTCTTATATATGTTTTATGATAATTCCTTTGTGTCAATTTTTTTTGCCGACCTGATGCCGACCTCTAACAGTTTAAGGTCAGCAATAAATTGCTAACCTGATTTTTCTTGATTCAGAGGGCTTGTGGCATAAATAAAAAATTTTTTTTTGTTAATAAGTAATTTGTTTTGGTAAGTTTAATTATCTTTAAACTTATTTTCTAAGGTTTATTCAAGATTTGAACACAACTTATTTTCTAAGGTTTATTCAAGATATGAACACAACTTATTTTCTAAGGTTTATTTAAGATATGAACACAAACTGTTTTCTGAGGTTTATTTAAGATATCAACACAACTTATTTTCTAAGGTTTATTTCATATAGGAATACTATTTGCCTCAATATTTGGCGCACTTTAAGTAAACCCCTAATTATTCCTGTAGTTTGTATTTTTTATTTAAAGAGGTGGGAGAAGGTCTAAACTCACCAATTCTTAAAAAAAGGCCAACACTGTTTATTATAAACACAATTGGCCAACTGCTGTAAACTTAACACAGATTCTATTTTTCTTAAATGATCTTGATTCATTTGTTTTTTAGACTTATCCTAAATCAGTTTGGATAACTAAGTTAAAAGTTCAATAAACATGTTTTAATACAAAAATGAATAAAAAAATATGTTAAATATTTTGAATGCTTTTTATTTATTTACTTATTATATTCCTTTGAATATTTTTTCAAATTTATTAAAAGAGAGACACATTAGAAAGTAATATTGGCAACTCAAAAATTATAAAGTCTTTTAATGTCTTGATACTTTACTTAAAAACAATAAATTCAAATGAAAATATTTTATTGGTTGATGTGAATATATATTATTGGTTGATGTAAATATATTTTATTGGTTGACGTAAATATACTTTATTGGTTGATGTGAATATATTTTATTGGTTGATGTGAATATATTTTATTGGTTGACGTGAATATATTTTATTGGTTGATGTGAATATATTTTATTGGTTGATGTGAATATATTTTATTGGTTGATGTGAATATATTATGTGAATATATATGAATTTACTATGCTATTGTTTGAATATATGTGAACATATTATTTATAAACTATAAACTAAAAGTTAATCTACTTACAAGAAGAATGGAAGAATTATCTACTGATAAAAATTGGGAAGGTAAAAATTACCTAACTTTTTAAAGTTAGATAATTAAAGGGAAGGACTATCTAATACTTCATACCTATCACAATACTTTCCTGTAGCACCATTTAAATTACAAACACACGTTCCCTCTGGATTACAGTCTTGCATATGACCATTGCAAGTACATTCTTAAGTATAAAAAAATAACTGAACAAAATTAAAGACAAACTAAAACAAACATATATTTACATTACACAGAAATATTTTGTAAAACAATATTTAAAATGTAAATACATTCATATTTCTACATATATACAAATGTATATATGCTGCTCATACTACTTTTTTTTTTTTGAAGTATAAGCAACATTGTTTTTACACGCCAACTTAAAACAGTATAAGCAACATTGTTTTTACACGCCAACTTAAAAAACAACAAAAACTTAAAATAAGAAATAATTAAACTTTAAAAAGACATTAATTTTAAATAAACTAAAAATATTAACATTGCAACTCTAATGCACTAATTATTTTTTTTCAATTAAATAAAATTTAAGTTAAAATTTCTTTTCTTCTTAAATAATATTTAAGTTAAACTTCTTTCCTTCTTAAATAATATTTAAGTTAAAATTTCTTTCCTTCTTGGCACTCATCAGCCATTGAAATCAAGTAGTAAAAAGCGTTATTTATTTATTTTTGTGTGTAGAAATTTTAAAAATAATCATTCTTTTATTAAAAAAAAAAAAAAATCAGAAAACCAAAATATATAATTTGACAAATTTTGTAAAAATGCACTTTTCATTTTTAGTAAAAAACAATTTTATAGAAAATAATGAAAAAAATAATTTTTTTATAAAATCATGATTATTTTTTAAAATTTTATATAATTTTGGTTCTTTTGAGACAATATAATATACTTTTAAAGAGTTTTTGTTTTAAAGGGTCATGAACTAAACTTAGTGTTATTTAAAAATATTTTAAAATAGATTTTATCTTCCAATAAGAAAAAACCTAAGCATAGGTCAATAAGAAAAAACCTAAGCATAGGTCAATAAGAAAAAACCTAAGCATAGGTCAAAGAAAGCATTTTTATCCAGAAGCAGATTGATTTACTTGAATGGCTGACTCAAAGTCCACATCTCAATGCAATCGAAAATCTCTAAACTAATCTGTATCAAAAACGTGACACAATGTCTAAAAATGTGACAACAATGTCTAAAAATGTGACAACAACGTCTAAAAATGTGACAACAATGTCAAAAAATGTGACAACAATGTCAAAAAATGTGACTTACAATGTCTAAAAATGTGACAACAATGTCAAAAAATGTGACATACAATGTCTAAAAATGTGACACACAATGTCTAAAAACGTGACAACAATGTTTAAAAATGTGACACACTATGTCTAAAAATGTGACACACAATGTCTAAAAAGAAAAGAAGAGATAATGATCATGTTGCAAGAAGTATGGACTTATATTGATCCAGATATGACAAAAAAAAATTAGTTGAATAAATGCCATGTCAACTCGAGAAGTCATAAAAGCTAAAAGCAATCCAACTTGATATTAAAAAGTCAAAAAAAAAAAATTACTTGGATATACACTTAATTTTCATTTTAAATATTTTTTATATAATTTTGCTTATTTTGAGTACCAGGTTGACGTACTTTAGAAAAACTTTTGTTTTCAAAATATTAGGGACCCATCAAATTTTTAAGGGCTCTGAGCTACCCCTAAAAATATTTTTTTTTCAAAAAAATTTTAAACCTAGTGTTTTAATATTATAAAGAACAAAATAAAGGGGTAAGAGCAGGTTTTTCTCAAAAAAGTTGTTTTAAGAACTACCCTAATATATATATATATATATATATATATATATATATATATATATATATATATATATATATATATATATATATATATATATATATATATATATATATATATATATATATATATATATATATATATATATATATATTAGGGTGGTGCTTAAAACAACTTTTTTGAGAAAAACCTGCTGGTACCCCCTAAATGTGTTTTATCTAATACAAAAACACTAGGTTTAAAATTTTTTTGAACAAAAAATATTTTTAGGGGTAGCTCAAGGCCCTCAAAAATTTGACGGGTCCCTAATATTTAAAAAAAAAACTTTTTCTAAAGTATGTCAACCTGGTACTCAAAATAAGCAAAATTATATAAAAAATTTAAAAATGAAAATAATTTTTTATAAAAATAATTTTTTCAGGTATAAATGCATAAAAACTATTGTTTTTAAGCTGAAAATGAAAAAAGTCAATATTTTCAGGTTTTTTGAGAATAATTTTTTTAGGCATGTTTTTTATGTAAAATGATTATTATTTTTGAAGTTTTTATATAATATCGCTTCTTTTGAGTACCAGGTTGACATACTTTAGAAAAAGTTTTTTTTTCAAAATATTAGGGACCCGTCAAATTTTTGAGGGCCTTGAGCTACCCCTAAAAATATTTTTTGTTCAAAAAAATTTTAAACCTAGTGTTTTTGTATTAGATAAAACACATTTAGGGGGTACCAGCAGGTTTTTCTCAAAAAAGTTGTTTTAAGCACCACCCTAATATATATATATATATATATATATATATATATAAACATAAACACCAAGTCATTTTGTCATTTGTGTGTATGTTTATTAACATAAACATGCACATAAAAGACATAAATGTATAAAGTACAAATAAAGTACTCACCTTCACAACTATTGTTATTTTCTGGATTACCAAAAAATCCAAACTTGCACTTTTCACAATTAATACCTAAGCCAAAATACACAAAATAACATTGACTTATAAGTTTATACTGACAAAGGACCACAAAAAAACTTATTTAAAAAAAAAGAAGAAAAAAAAGAAAGAAATTAAAGTAATTAAAGAAATTTTATAAAAATTTGCAAAATAAAATATAAAAAGCACATAAGTAGAACCTTCAGTGAAACCTTCACAAACTCCACAATCATTTGTTCCATTTAAACACTTACTGTGGCCATTACAGTTGCATGCTTAAAAAATTAATAAATATTTTTCTGTTTTTGTATTTTGACAAATACAAATACAAAAGAATATAACTAATGTTTTTATAAACTACAATTTTTTAAGTATTAAGTTCTACTAACAATATCTAAATTTAGTCAGAAAAGTATGGTTTACTTAAAAATATTGAAATATATTTATTATATATATATATATATATATATATATATATTGTATATATATATATTTTTAAATGCAAAAAATCTAAAAAGATTCGATATATTTAAACAAGGACAAGACAACAACTGAACGAGCATATGAACGTACAAGAGAAGAAAGAAATAAAAAAAAAATAAAGAACTTCCTAATGTAGTAAATGGTTCAGAAGGGCTTTGCTTCGGAGAGAGAAATGGAAAAAAGTTCTACTACATAATCAGAAATGGAGAACTTAGACAAATTGATTACCATCCATCCGAATAAGCAGCAGATTAATACTATTCTCAAAAAAACAAAAAAAATACACAAACAAATATACATTTTCAAAAAGTAATAAAAATACACTAACAAATATACATTTTCAAAAAGTAATAAAAATACACAAACAAATATACATTTTCAAAAAGTAATAAAAATACACTAACAAATATACATTTTCAAAAAGTAATAAAAATACACTAACAAATATACATTTTCAAAAAGTAATAAAAACAATATATGTCAAACAAATCAAAAAACATTAAACAGTGAAAATAATAACCAAATTAAGTGGCTTTATACAAATGCTACCTCATTAAGTTCAGATAAAGTATCTGAATTATCATTATTAGCTTCAATATACAAACCTTATATTATATTTATCACTGAAACTTGGTTCAAAGAAGATTCTTTAGTAAATATTGAAAATTACTATTTACACGAATTTAACAGAAATGACAAAATGAAGAAATTTCAGAAATAATTGTGGTGGTGTAGCAATATATGTTCATGACAATATATCATCATTTGAAATAAAAAACCTATCAATGAATGTTACAAAATCTGAAAAAATTTGGTGCCTAATCAAGTATGGAAACTAAATTATTAAGCTTGGCTGTATTTATTGTCCACCGCTAAAATCAAAAGTTATTTATAATGCCGAAAAATCAAATAACACTAACATTGAAATGTCAAACCAAACTGACGATGAAATAAATCAAAGTATACAAACAGCAAAAATTGAGTTAAACAGAAAAATATATACACGTATACTCATATGTGGTGATTTCAATTTTTCATACATCAAATGGTATAAAAATGGTTCTGTTCAAGTTAATGGCAATAAAAACAGCATTGGTGCTAGAGTTAAAGATCTTATTAACAATATAAACATCATTCAAAATGTAACATTTCCAACATTCATTCAAGAAAATAAAATGCCTAAAAATATATTTGACCTGGTCATAACTGAATCATCAGACCGAATCAAACTTACCACCACTTGTATTAGCCAAGTCAAGGCCATTTGGTACTAAAATTTAATTATAACTTATCAAGTAATAAAGATAAAACAAATTATTTAACATTCAAGTACAATTACTATAAAAGTGATTTCAATTCTATCATTAAATGTTTTTTCAAATATAGATTGGTTAAAAGGCTCAATCGTACCCTTTTAATCCTCATAAATAAAAAATAGATTATGCCCTAAAAATCAATCTTCAAAGTGGAAAATACCTGAAAAAATTAAAATCTTCTTTACAAGTACAAAAAAGATTAACTAATAAAAAATTTGAACATAGTTTAGCATTTGATACAAAAAATTCCAAACGTTTGTTTAGTTATGCTAATAGTTCATGCAAATTAAACAAAGTATCAAATCAATTTGAAATAAATATGGAGTTACTGGGACAGATGGTAGATTCATTGCAGACTAGTAAATGATCAACTCAAATCAGTCTTCAACAATTTTTCAGTTAACAAAGATTCTCTACTACTTTCAGATTGTACAACTGAGCGTTTATCAAGCCTACATTTTTCAATAGATGATATCAAAAATAAGTTAAAAAATTTAAACCCAAATAAAACAACCGGACCAGACAATGTCCATCCAATGATATTAAAACAATGTGCTAATGTACTATCTTTACCTCTAACAACTATATTCAAAAAATCACTATCAGAAAGATCGATTCATCATGCATGGCGTAATGCAAATGTTACTCCACTATTTAAAAAAGGTGATACCAATGAACCAAGTAATTATAGACCAGTTTCTCTTGCACTTATTCCATGTAAATTAATGGAAAGCTTAGTAATCAATGATATTGTAAATCGACTCTCAAAACTAAATTTAATGTCTTAATTAACATGGTTTTGTAAAGAATAAAGCATGTGTTAAAAACTTATTAGAATCTAATGATTATGTTACAAAATGCTTAGCTAACAAAAATGCAGTAGATGTGGTATATCTGGACTTTTCAAAAGCTTTTGACAAAATCTCTCACAAATTGTTAATCATCAAGCTTAAAGCTTATAGAATAGTTGGAGATCTTCTTGATTGGATTAAAGACTTTCTCACTAATAGAAAACGGGGAGTAGTACTTGGAAAACATATATCTGATTGGGCTCACGTTACTAGCGGTGTCCCACAAGAATCAGTTTTAGGCCCAATACTTTTTATAATTTACATCAATGACTTGCCAGAAAATTTAAAATGCGCCAGTAAACTAAATGCAATTGATTCGAAATTAATGAATGAGCTACGAGTAAAAACTATTCTTAATGATACCATTGACATTCAAACTGATTTAAATAAAATCACTGAATAGACAAAAGTTTGGCTGATAAAGCTGAACCTAGAAAAATGTAAAGTTATGCATATGGGAAGAAACAACCCATGCTCAAACTATTCACTTCAAAATACAAACAACTATTTATATTACAATTTAGAAAAATCAGATGTAGAAAAAGATCTTGGTATATTTGTTTCAAGTAATGCTAAATATTTTCATCAAGTTATTCATGCTAGTAATAAAGCTAACAGAATACTTAATATGTTAAAAAAAAAACATATCAAGGGATTCAATGTTATGGACCAAGTTATACAAAACATGTCAGACCTAACCTGGAATATGCAATCAGTGGTTGGTCACCTTATTTAATGAAAGATATAAAGATTATTAAAAAGATTACTACAATTATTATTAAAAAGACTATCTACAAAAGTCCAAACCATATGCAAACATCTTGGTTACACAGATAGATGTATCTTATTTCAAATTCAAAAACTGGAAGATCGTAGAATAAGAGGTGACTTAATTCAAAAGTTTAAAATTGAAAAATGTCTTACCATCATTAATTGGCACAATAAACCTATTATGCATCTAGCTCGATGGGCAACAAGAACAGTTTGTACGCAAATTTAACAGAAATTGTAATCTACGATATTATTTTTTTAATAACTGTGTTGCTAGGCATTGGAATGCACTCAATGATGCAACAGTTAACTGTTCTTTGACTATTGAATTTAAACAAACGCTTGACAGTTCAATTGATAGTTGCCTATAGTCATTATATGACTTTAATAGGATTTGCATCCTATTTGCAACTCATATACTATTACCATATATAAATATGTTGTGTATAATATATATATATATATATATATATATATATATATATATATATATATATATATATATTTATATATATATATATATATATATATATATATATATATATATATACATATATGTCTCTGTGACAAGACCGTTAGGTCTTCTTGGAGCACCTAAATAATAATAATAATATATATATATATATATATATATATATATATATATATATATATATATATATATATATATATATATATATGTATATATATATATATATATATATATATATATATATATATATATGTATATATATATATATATATATATATATATATATATATATATATATATATATGTATATATATATATATATATATATATATATATATATATATATATCTACATATATGTACATATATGTATATATATATATATATATATATATATATATATATATATATATATATATATATATATATATATATATATATATATATATATATATATATATATTTTATTATTTAGGTGCTCCAAGAAGTGCTCTGTGACAAGACCGTTAGGTCTTCTTGGAGCACCTAAAAAAGGATCTCACTTCTGCTACAGCATGGGGCTCACAGTGGCTGGTGAACTTTAATTCAGATAAAACTCAATTTTTTTCAGCCAATCGTTATCGCAATAATTTAGACCTTCCTATATTTATGAACAGTAATGTACTCGATAAGTCTCCTACCCTTCATCTTCTAGGATTAACTCTTACTTCTGATCTTTCTTGGAAACCTTATATCAAATCCGTTGCAAAATTAACATCTGCTAAAGTCGCTTCTCTTTATCGAGCTCGTCACTTTCTTACTCTGGATTCTATTCTCTATCTCTATAAATCTCAAATCTGGCCTTGTATGGAATACTGTTGCCATATCAGGGGTGGATCTTCTAATGATGCCCTTTCTCTTTTAGACAAGGTGCAAAAACGCATTGTAAACATAGTTGGACCTACTCTTACAGCCAACCTTCAACCTCTGTCACATCGCCGTAATGTTGCTTCTCTTTCTCTTTTCTACTAATACTATAATGGGCTGCTCTAAAGAGCTAGCGTCTCTTGTGCCATCTACAAAAATTCATTCTCGCGTTACTCGTCATTCAACTAAGTCTCATCCTTTTTCTGCTAATGTTCCTAAGCGCTCCAAAAACTCTTATTCGTCTAGTTTTTTTCCTTGAACATCGGTTCTTTGGAATTCGCTTCCTTCATCTTGCTTTCCTGATTCATTTAATTCGCAATCTTTTAAGTCGTCTGTCAATCGTTATCTTGCTCTACAATCTTCATCTTTTCTCTTCCAGTAACTTCCAACACTAATTAGTGGTTGCTTGCAGCCTTGTTGGAAGCAAAGTTGTTAAAAAAAAATAAAATAAAATATATATATATATACATATATATA